ACACAGCAAACATTTAAAAATGCAACAGCTGGGGGCACTGGTCAAGGACTTTTATAGCATTTGTGGTCTACAAGGAGTATTCTGATGGTTGTTACTATGGGATTACATTTTTTGTGTGTAAGAAGAAGTTTAATACTAGGCAGTCTATCTGGTTCAGGGGCTCCAAGAAAGCTGGAAAGACAAATTTCTTCTGGTCATTCTTTTCACCAATGCTCTGGTATGTCATTTGTCTTCATGCTTGTACAGTTATTGATATATCTGCCTTATGAATAGTGAGGAAGAGAAGACAGCAACAGACAGGAAGAAGGAGCATTTGTGTTAGGAAAGTATATCTGTTGGAAATTTCAACCAAACATTTGTGCATATTATTATTGGTAGAAGTTATTGCTTTGTCACTCATCCTTGCTAGGGTGCCTGAGAAATGTGTTTTCAGGCCCAGTAGGTTAAATTTTAGAAGAACTGACAAGAGCCTGCCTGTTTGGACTGAGGAAGAGATGTTCTCTTTTCCATCGTTGGCTAAAATTCTTCTGTACTCTTCTCACTGGCTACTGAAAGCCATTTTTACTTTTTCCAGGACTCAATATGAATTTCTCATCTCCACCCTAACTTTCTTTCTCCTTTAGTCCTTCTCTTCTGATGCTATTGAAAAAAACAAGACCCAAACAGAAACCTTCTTTCCTCCTCAACACCTCTGACAACCTCAGTGCTCACCCAAGAAGTTGTTTACAATCTAATTTTCATGGTTTATTGTAAAATGCTACTTAAAAGAATGCTTATAGGCTATCCCAAGATGTAAAATGGAGAAAAGTAATTTGAATTAACAAATAGTAAATGTTACATTTGGATTTATACTCTTCAAATTGTTTCTAGGAGATATATTTCACCCATCGTGTTCATAGAAATATGGGGATTGTCTCAATCTATAAATTATATATCTTTTTCTCTTTATTACAGATATTTGATATATGCGTCCAAAAATTTTCTCCTGTTTATCATTTTTAGTCAAAATAATATATTAAATGTATGTTAGAATTCAAGTAAAACAATACAGACCTTTTAAAATTAAATATTTAGAATTTTAGAATTCAAATTTGAGAAATGTTAGGATTCAAATAAAACAATAAATACGTTTTACAAGTAAAATAAAATCATTTTAACTTCATGACTCTATACCATAATTAATGCAAATAGAAATGTACTGTTCATATAGTCTTTAATTCATTAAGGTTTTAAAATTATGTACAGGTTGTTTCTTTTTGAATTCAAAACAATAGAAACTTTTATGATTAAAAATGAAGTTTTAAGTTTTATGATTTTTACACTGTAATTAAAAGAAATAGAAATTTACTATTTAGAAATTATGTATATATATTTGTTTTGGAATTCAAAACAATAAAGAAATTTTATCATTGAAAAGCAAGGTTTTAATTTCATGACTTTATGCTATAATTAATGCAAATGATAAAAATTGACGGTTTTAGTTATCTCTAAGTTATTCATCCTTAAAATTAAATATCATATTGTTTCTTTATTAGAATTATTTTAAACATTTTAATAACCTTGATTTAAATAGTGGAATCCTAAGCACAATTTGAAAACCATTTTCCTAACCTATCACTAGTGTTTTTCATCTTATCAAAGATAGACTACTACAGACACTGTTGATTATCTGAATGGTGATAGGTCAACTGTGGAACGTACCTGATGAAGTCAATGTAGACTTGAGTAGTTGGCTCCAATCTTTCTGGGAAGAAACTGAGCACCAGGGAACAATGGATAATGTAAAAGAATAGATAAAAAGGAAAAAAAAAAGATAAAAGAGGAGAGGAGAAGGGAGGAATGTAGAGGAGAGGAGGGGAGAGGAGAGGAGAGAACAGGAGAAACAAAATGAAGAAAGGAAATGAAGAAAAAGAAGGAAAAAGAAAAGAAAAGAAAAAGAAAATCCCAAGAGGACTTGAACCCAAGACCTCTCACTTAACAGATAAACAGGTTAAACAACAAAGCTACAAGTCTATTCACTGTCCTTAATATTAATTTATTTTAAATATATAATATGGAAAACATTTAATAGCATGAATTATGTATGCATTTAGTGAGAGATCACATTGACAGTTAAGAAGGAAACATTCCTTATTGGCCCATAACAAGACAGAGTTACCTGATACAAGGGACTACCCACAGGTAGTCAGGGGGAACAACTGCCTCTTATACAAATCTCTAGTAAGAAACATATTGTCCCTCTTCTAATTTGCCGGGTTTTTTTTCCTTTGCCTTTTTCCCAGTATTTCTTATCTCCACAACTACTAAAAGAAGAAAAGAAAAGAAAGTTGTTCTAAGCTCTGATACTCAAGATAACCCAGCTCAATTCTGTTTAAGTTGATATGTCAGTTTGCTAGCATTGTGTTAGTAGGATATGATGGTATTGCCCTACAAGAGACAGTGATTGAGAAAGGAAGTCACATTACCACATTATATAACAAAATAGAAAAAGCATAAAAAAGAATAATCAAAAAAGATAGCAGCTCTGAGAAAGTCATATAACATTACATTGAAGCAATGAAGATGACCCATTGAGGAAAAGGGGTAATGCGAGAGTGGGCAGGTGTGGATGTGGGGATTCCTCTCAAAGGAAAAGGAAAGAGTCTATTTAAATGTGAAACGCTGATTTAGGCTAGAACTAATTTGAAATAAAGCCTAGAAAAATGGGAGATGATGATGTGAAATGGTTTGAAATCCAGATTAAAGGGACTGAAGATCTTTCGAAGAACTTTGAGCAAAGTAGTTTAATATTCCCAAACTGAAGGTTTAGGAATTGTCCTCACTGTGGACTCTCAGGAAGTGTGGAAGGTGATGAGACCAGTGAAGGAGATACCTATTGGGAAGCTAGTGAAACAAAGAAATCCTGGACCACGTTTTTCTCTTCAGCTTCTGCTGACAGGGGGACAAATAGGCAGGTGTGTCCCAGGTCTCAGCACAGGGCCTGATCCAGAAATCCTGCACAATGTGTCAAACAAATGAATAAAAGGAAGGAGACAGATGCAAGGGATTGTGTGGGAAAAACCCACCAGATATGGATATTTTAGGGAGGAGCAGAGGTCAGAAAAACTCGTAAGTTTTGAACCCAAGTATTAGGCAGTTAAGTTTCTGACTTGATGTATGTTGAAAGGATAAAACAACGCATAAACATGTAAAAATTCATTGAATGAATGAATGAGCAGATGTGGAGAAGAACTGATGGAGGAACCTTGAGATAAGATGAAGGAAGGACACATTTTTCAGTCAGGAAAGTATCTGGCTTCCAGTTCTGGCTTGGTCCCTTAGCACAATGTAGCTTTAGGAAAGTATTTCACTCTTCTTAACTCTAGCTTCATAAGAAAATGGCATAGAATACACATAGATTTGTCAAAATTTCACATGGTGATTTGGGTGATTATCAGTTTTAATTGACTTTAATCAAAGAAAAATTAAACTTCTCGTATCTTAATGACAGAGTATAATTGTAGAGCTTAGAACAAGGTGTCCAGAGATGTTAAACCTTCTTTCCCACCTAAACCGGGATATAGGAGCACTATCTTCCTTGATTATAACATTTCAAAAGATGGTTCCAGGACCTTGTGAAAAACATTCCTGCCTTGTAAAACCAGCAAGAGCATTATTTAGCTTTTGGAATGATTTACATACATCTCAAAGGGGCAGAGAAAATATTAAAAATCTAAAGACAATTCTATAAAAGGGAGAGAAATCCCTTCTTTTGTACCTAGGGAAATTTGGGATTTTTATTTTTCCATTTGTATTTACCCCTGTAAGTGTCAAGGGTAATTATAACCTATTTTGTCCTGGATTTCCCAATTCAAAATTGAATGAAAATAGCACTTCTTTCAAAAAGCTATCACTCCTTTATTGCACAAGTGTTTTTAGCATCTATTGTGTACCAGATGCACCTTTAAACAATGAAGATACCATCACACAGAAAATGAAGGGAGAGGCAGTGATTAAAAACATTCCTCCCAGTCCAGCTCTGTTCTGTTCTCACTTCTTGAACAATAATTGTATTCTTGCCTCTATTCTCAGTTCTTTATATCCCTTTGCAGTGGAGTTGGAAACGACCCTTCTTGGAGGCAAAAAAAAAAAAAAAATACATAGAAGGATCATTCTTGAATGTAGAAAATCATACAAATGTCATTGATGCTTTACAAAGCAGGATTGGTCTATTAAAGAAGAGAGGGGGGATCTTTTGCTTTTTGAATTCATTTCTGGTTTAACAGACAAGGAATAAAACAGCCACTTATGGCAAAAACTTAGAACCACCAATGTGCATAGGAAGAACAAAATGATTCTCATCCTGTTTCATTAGATCCAGGTTTGGGATGTGCTCAGAAAGTGGAATCTCCAGTGCTTGTCATTATTTATTATGACCCTGTGTATAAAGAAGGCTACAAGACAGAAAAATAAGTGATTTATGTGTTTCGGAAGCCGGCCCCTTTTCTGATTCAGAGATCTAGAAGCTTGGGAAGGTGAAAAGAGGACAAGAAAAAGGAAAAACCCTAGATATAGAGCCTTGGTAGTTGTTCACTTTCTCACTACACATCTTTCTATTAAAATTATTAAAACCTAATTAAGACTGAGGTAACTTCTGAGCCAAACATATGTTGCAATTGTGGAGGGAGAGGGAAAGGTGTACTTCAGGAATTGAGATCCTGCAGAGGGTTTTCTCTCCCTGATAGAACAAGAATTTGAAAAACTCACGTCTTGGTGACAGTTTATACTAGCCAAGAGCTCTACAACCAAAGAGGATACAAGTATTGTTTGGGGATCCTCAACTTGCCAGAAGGACTAACCCAGAGCTTGACTGCATCAAGGTGAGTAAACCTGACAATTGTTTTATTTACACCTATGGGCTGTTTAATTTTCCCTCAGAAGGAGAAATCTGATTTCTTTCTTCAACTAAGCAAGATAATTTATGAAGGAATCTGTAAGCCTGAGATTATGACTTTTCTTACCTTTAAAAAGTATGCACCTGGGGCCAGAAAGATGAAGGGGACGAGTTCTTGTAGTGATGACTCCAGAAGTGCTTGAACATCTTTGTCCTTGTGTTCAGGATTGGGTTCCATAAGAAAGCTTTGGGGTGCGTCTTTACACAAGGTCCTGTATTTCATTTCATCCAGAAATTAAAAAGATATAGAAGCCTTTCAGGTTTCTAGGAAAGATCATTTTCTTCAGCCTCCATTTTTCACCTGAATTATGACTGTTAGTGTTATTGAATTTCATAAAATTTGTTCACCTCATTTTTGGTGCATTTCTGTTTTCAATACAGCTACAGTTTTTTTGCTATTATCTTGCTTATTCACCAGGTGCATTTTTGTTTAACTCGAAGGATTTCTTTCTGCATTCATTCTTCAAGTCCAACCATCCTGAAATATAATGTTATGTACCATACGTGTATGTCTGCTTCATCCATTATATGCCAGTTTGATGGAGCACTTTGAACAGCAATTATGACTAGAAATTATAGTTACTCTTTTGAGAATCTCTACTAGGTATATGCGAAGCTGTGAGTTAGTATAATCTGAGGTGCCTACCTTAATTTTACCAGATTCTAAAATAGTAGACAGATATACTCATTTTTTAGTTGAGATAACTGAGGCTGAAATGTATACACTTATTTTTTTTCTTAAGTTATTGGGTGTTAGATCTAAAACGGGCATTGCAAATCTGTCTAAATTCAAAGCGTGTCTTTTAAAATAGTTTCCAAAAGCACTATGGTAGAGTAGTCACCCCTCTCTCCTCTGACATTTTTCATATCATTCAGTCAAAAAGAAAAAAAAAGTGATTTATTAGGTGGTACAGAAGCTAATCTCAAATCTATTCAGAGCTTTGGAATTTTGGGAAAATGAAGAGAGGGACAGAAAAATGGGAAATACCAGATAGAAATGAAAAACAACCAGAAAAATATTTGTTAAGAATGTCAGGGCAGGTCGGGCATGTTGGCTCACGCCTGTAATCCTAGCACTCTGGGAGGCCGACCGGGCAGATTGCTCAAGGTCAGGAGTTCGAAACCAGCCTGAGCAAGAGCGAGACCCGTCTCTGCTATAAATAGAAAGAAATTAATTGGCCAAATGAAAATACATAGAAAAAATTAGTCGGGCATGGTGGCACATGCCTGTAGTCCCAGCTATGCAGGAGGCTGAGGCAGCAGGATTGCTTGAGCCCAGGAGTTGGAGGTTGCTGTGAGCAAGGCTGATGCCACGGCACTCACTCTAGCCTGGGCAACAAAGCGAGACTCTGTCTTAAAAAAAAACAAAAACAAAAAAAGGATGTCAGAGCGTTGACATGTTTTGAGAGCAGTCCTTTTAACAGATTCCAGGTCTCCAGACTAAATATTTATTCAATTCTAACTCCAGATCTATTATTCAAGGGTGTTGCACTTGCTACTAAGGTCTATAGTATATTTCAGTTTGTGCTAGCATTTCAGATCATTTCATGTTTTGTTTAACCCCTTCCTGAAGGCCTCAGTCTCCCTTTTTGTCAAGGAAGGAAACAGAGCCTGTCAGAAAATAACCAATTTTCCCCAAATCTGGAGGCTACCTCATATCAAAGAAGCCAATGTTCATGTATTTCATGTTGCCTAAGGCCTTCAAGACAAGGGTACATCTAAAGTATACCCTAATGATTGGTTGAAAGTGGAGGGGAATATGGCTTGTAGAAAGGCATTCCTAATATATAGAACATATGCAGATTCTGGGGATCAGATAAAAATCCTGATTTCTTTTGTTTGGGAAAATTATCAGTAATTTGATATAAATTTCAAGGTGAGAAATGAGATTGAAGAGGTTAATGATAAATGAGTAAAATCCTATGTAGCCATGAAAGTAGGAAAATCTGCTTGGATGATAAAGATCAAAAGCATCCATCTGTTAACCAAGTTGGAGAGCAGACACAGGTAAAGCTGCTGCCAAGTTAACTGGACACAGTGTTTCTCCCCAAAGTTATGCAACAGCTGTAAATGATATAACGACCCCTTGTTTGAATGATTACTCTTTTCTTACCAAGGAAGCCACAACCTTCTTTGCCTCATGCAGCCATTATTGGGAATACCTAATTCATAAACTGTCTTTATCTCATGACAGTACTCAATCCCTACTTATTCCCCTTCTAATCTCTTTGAGAAAAATCAACACATCCTAAAAAGACCACAATTTCCCATAGAGACCCTCATATACTCATAGGGGACTCAGAGCTTTCAAGAGCATGCCTGTCCAATGGCATTTCCTGATTCTCCTGGAGCACCTTCCCAGACTATCTCCAATCAATAGATATGATATTGCTGATAACACAATCTTTCTCTGATGGTCTTTGGCTGAATAGACTTTGCAAGTTGAGGTCCTGTAGTGGAATGCATGCTATTTGACTTGATATTGAAGATTAGCAAAACATACTGAAAATTTGTAAACAGTGAACTCAGAATCAGCTTGCGGTATTAAAAATGACTCTGGAAATATTACAGTGTGTGTATTAGAGACAGTAAAAATTGGAAGCAGGAACAAACCAGGAAATGTTATATGCATCAAAATGTGAGCTATGATGATATATTGAACAGAAGAAGTGTCACCACGAAAGGTGTCACAGGGGATAGATTTTAAACATGTTACAGAATTGAAATACCAGAATTTTCTAAGCGTCTATATATAAGAGATGGGAAGTTAGATGCATTTAGGATAAACTGCAGGTTTTTAGAATGGGCTAATAGGAATGATATAGAATAAAGGAGAAACACAAGGAGACATTCTGGTTGGGAAAAGTTTAGTTCGATTCAGTACATGCTGAGATTTAAAATATGTGTGATATATACAGAGTTGAATAAGCAGGTTCATTTTGTTTGTATAAAGCTCAGAAAAAACTCTTTGTGGCAAATTCATATTTTTGCATTCTCATTTCCTATGTGAAATTTGGAGCCACATAAAATGACACACAAAGAGTGTACAAGAAAAGGCACAAAATCTTTGGACAAAAACCTGCTCTATCACAAATATCATATCAATCAGGTTGCTGAGCCCTGTATAACACCAAAATCTACATTATGAATTATTCTTTGCAGATACCTTTCCTCATGACTAGTGCTTTCTTCAAACAGTGTTTGCTGGATATAAAGTTTTTTGCCAATTATGTAATAATGATTTTTAAGATCATCAAAGGAGCAATATTCCTTTTTCTAACTGGACTTGGCACTGTGGGGAACATCTCTGCTTTCATGAATTATATGTGCATTTTGTTTTGGGACACTGAGAAGAAATCTTTACACTTTATTCTCATCCATTTAGCTTTTACAAATATCATAATTCTTTTTTCCAAAGGAATGCCAGTGACAATAGCAGCCTTTGGTTTGAGAAACTTCCTAGATGATACAGGCTGTAAAATTGTTGTTTATCTGGAGAGGGTAGTTCGGGGCCTTTCTATCTGCACCAGTAGTCTCCTCACAGTGGTCCAGGCCATCACCATCAGTCCCAGAGCATCTGCATTGGGGAGGCTCAAGCCAAGGTCCCCATGGAATATCCTTCCTTTGTTTCTTGTCTTTTGGACATTCAATTCCTTGATAAGCATGAATGTACTCTATTCCATCACAAACAGCAGCATGAACATGTCACAAATTAGTGAAAGTAATGCCTGTGGTTATTTTCTACCTGGGAAACAAGGCATAAGATGGATTTTTCTCACACTCATGGCCCTGCGAGATACCCTATTTCAGGGTCTCATGGCCTGGTCCAGTGCCTATATGGTATTTCTTCTCCACAAGCATCATAAGAATGTTCTCTACATGCAGAGCTCCAAATTTCTGTTCCAAACTGACCCTGAGATAAGAGCTGCTCAAAGTATTCTCCTTCTGATGCTTTCTTTTGTTTTCTTTTATTGGGCAGGTTATTATATATCTTCATATTCAACTCTTGTTTTAGAGAATAATTTCATAATATCAAATATTTCTAGAATGTCTAGCTCTTGGTATGCAATTCTCAGCCCATTTGTGCTGATTCACAGGGATAGACACATGGCTAATGTTGGCACACTCAGTGAGACTAGAGAAAATGTGTGTTTCATTGTTCCTTTCAATAAACAAGTTTGAAACAACTTTTAGTTTTGTTAGGTTGTATGTAACACAAAATCAAGTAAAAGCAGCTTAAACATATGAGTATATTTGCATACAACAAACATGGTGACCTGCAGCCCTGACACAGAGATCATAGAAAGCTAGAGGAACCCAGACATTTTCTCATTCTCCACTCTGCAACCCTGAAGAAATGTCTTTACTTGTAATGTTTCTAAGATGGCTCCTTCACTGTCATTCTTACAATAGTAAGGAGTAGGAAAACAATTTGGTAAATTTCATCAAAGTTACTGGTGTATTTATCCTATTAACCTAGAATTTATTTTCTAGGAACTGATTCAACAGATATACTTGCTCTTGAGAAAATTACAACAGCCTAATATATTACACATTGGAGGATTTGTTATTAAAATTTCATTGTGTTGTTAAACTCAGCCTAAATATCTTACAAAAGGAACATTTTTATGGCTATTTGAAAATAGGCATAAATATCTGTTCCTGCAAGGATTCTACTGAAATTATGAAAGAATGAGCAAGTACAAAATATAGTGCTATAGAATGATATATAATTTTATTTAATAAAAGAAAAGCAATACAGGAGTAATAATACTGAAAATAAAATGAAATATATTTAACTCAATGTTATACCCGTGAATCTCTAGTGGGATACAAGAGAAATTATAGGTATTGGGAGAAACTAAGTAAATGGAGGCATAGTACATAGAATTTCATTTTATATCTTTCTATATATTCTTTTAATTTCAGCATATTACAGAGGTACAAATGTTTAGATTACATATATTGCCTCTGCCCTACCCGAGTCAGAGTTACAAGCGTGTCTATCCCCTAGATGCTGCACACCCCACCCATTAGGTGCAAATACACCGTCCCCTCCTCCCCTTACATGTTTATTTGGTCATCAAAGAAACTAATAAAAGCATGCAGGCTGGTTTTTTATATACTCTTCTTTTGTGAAGTAAGTGCTCTTTGCACGTCAAAAATGCATGCTATGGAAGGGCTGTTCCTACATGCACAACTGGGATCAAAT